TCCACCTTACCAAACATATCTCCTTCTCCAGCGACTGGTTCCTCCTGACAATATGTCCGAAGTATGAGAGTCGAAGTTTTGCCATCCTGGCCTCCAGGGGGCGCTCTGGCTGCACTTATGTATTGGTTCTTTTGGCAGCCCATGGCACCTTCAGTATTCTCCTCCAACACCATAACTCAAAAGCATCAATTCTTCTACGGTCTTGCTTATTCACTGTCCACCTTTCCTATGCATATGAGGTTATTGAAAATACCATGGCTTGAGTCAGGTGCACCTTAGGCCTCAAGCTGACATCTTTGCTCTTCGACACTTTAAAGAGGTTTTTAAAAAAGCTCTACTGATCAATAAACAGTACTGGATGTATAGATTTTTCTAGTTTAATTCTCCTTATGCTTAAAGTGTATCCTATTGTTGGTTCGTTTGGTTAAGTAGATTCCTTTTGCTAAATATTGATAATTAATCAAAAACATTTGAGGCAAACCTTTGATAAACTATAAAACCACTTTCAAATGTTAATTTTTGGTAATACCAGTGTGGCAATGTAGGATAATGAATGGGCTGATAACCGAAAGGTCGGTGATTCAAACCTACCAGCCGCTCCTCGGAAGCACTATACAGGGTTGCTATGGGTCGGAACCAACTTGATGGCACTTAATAACAACAACCTGTAAATAGCGTCAGTGAAATTCACATCAGGTTCTTCAGAAATGAAGTGTTTGTTCCATATGCCTTTTACTTTGCAATAGTTTGAATAACTTTTTATGTTTTTGTTCTGATTTTATTTTTAATATTTCAGGCACACATTGTGTAACAACACTTCTGACCAAAACAAGTTCTCAGGCTCCCTCTAGCTTCTACCAAGGCGGTTTTGTGGCCCCTACCGCTTTCTTCTTAACCTTCTCCACATTACTAAAAAATTCATTCACTCAGTCATCATTTCAGTGAATTGTTAGAAGAAGCAGGTGAGAGCCTGCTCTATTAGACGGGGTTCCAGTAACTAGAACTACAGATTCATCAAGACAGCATAGTGACTTCAGTACAGAAACAGCACCAACATACAGAACGCATGCCCACACATGTCATACCAGACAATGAGCATGCATACACATTAATCAACACAAGACGTTGAATTTGTACAGACGTCTACCACAACAGATAGTGAACTAAACCAGTGGTCGTACACATGCACCTACTATACCAAACGGAGCACCCACATGCGTGTCACCCCAGACACTCATTATTGCTGTACAGAAACTCATTGCAGGGGAGGACATCCTGTGTGTGAAAGGACATAGTATGGCAGAGGTGCCGGAGACAGCTGTCTCACGTTACTGATGAGCAGGTGGGCTGAGACGTTCCAATAGCTGTGGGCATAAGACTTGGGTGCAGAAAGCAATGCATGCAACTTCATGAGGCAGGCAAGAGGGTGTTTGAGAAACAGCCAGGAGACCCCTGCAGAACCAGAGGGTGAGGGGAGCAGAGGAAAGAGGGACAGACCAACACCCATGGCCATGAGTCCATTCCTACTCATAGCAACACTGTGTAGGGTTTCCGAGGTGGTAAATCTTTATGAGAGCAGAAAGACTCATCTTTCTCCTATTGAACAGCTGGTGGGTTTGAACTTCCAACTTTATCCTCCAGCAACACCAGAGCTCCTATAGAGACAGAAATGGGGAAACTAGGGTCTGAAATTGATGCTACGATATTAGGGTTTGTCCTGAGAGTGCGGGAAACCTCTGGGGATGAGGTTAGACTCTAGGATCAAGATGTGATTGGGGATCCACTTGGGGACTTCTTCAGTGTCCAGGTGAGAGTGGCGTGGTGGACAAAGGTGGGAGTTGTCTGAATGAGATGTAATTTGAAACAGAACTTCCTATCGCATTTCGGCTCGAGGATGCCTGGGGTAAGTGAGTCAGGTATGAGTAGGAAGAACGCAGGCTGGCAAAGGACACGTGTGTACTTTATAATTTTTGGAAAAAGAGAGATACAAGTGAGCAGGAACTAGTGTCCTTTAGTCAGTGGACCAGGGCCAGTCCTATATTGTCCACACTTGAGTCCCAGATGTGCGTTTCCAGATTGCTGAAGAAGATGCAATGAATAAGGATGGAGGGAAAAGTAACCCTATAAAGGAGGACTTGGTGGAGTCAGAGCCTGTGTTCTGATCCTAAGAGGAGCTCTTTCCACAAAGCAGACAGCAGACCATCCTTTCTACACTAACTCTGATGGAAAACTTTGTCTTCCAGGAGAAGCAAAGGCAGAGATTCATCCATGTCCTCCCTGCCCTCTGGTCTTGTCTGGACAGAAATTCCTCCATCAACAAGTACAGCACACCTATCCCTCTCAGACTTCTCCAAGAACTCCTGCGGAAAAACACCTTCACCTAGAGCACCGCCATCCAGGGGATGGGAAGGAGCCGCATTCTGTGCAACTCTCCACGAATCACAGAGTAGAAGGTCTAGAGATGGGAGATGGGTCCAAAGCCATGTTTGAAAGGACAACACAGGGGGACATTTTAAAGACCTTCTCTAGTCTACCCAAAGAGCAAATGGGGAGTTCTAGGGAGGCTAACAGAATGACGCAGACAGACCCATGCCCAGGCCAGAGAATGAATGCTGAGGACACAGGGAAATTATTCCCGGGGAAAGAAATCCCAAGAATTGCAAAAGTTATGTGTAGAGAGTGTGGGCAAAGCTATTGTGCTAAGTCAAGCCTTATCACACACCAGAGGACACACACAGGGGAGAAGCCCTATATCTGCAGGGAGTGTGGGCGAGGCTTTAGCCAGAAGTCAAACCTCATTAAACACCAGAGGACACACTCAGGGGAGAAACCCTATGACTGCAAAGAGTGTGGACGAGTCTTTAGCCATAAGTCAGTCCTCACTATACACCAAAGGACACACTCAGGGGAGAAGCCCTATGTTTGCAGGGAGTGTGGACGAGGCTTTATCCAGAAGTCAAAACTCATTAGACACCAGAGGATACACTCAGGGGAGAAGCCCTATGTCTGTAGGGAGTGTGGGCGAGGCTTTAGTCAGAAGTCATACCTCATTCAACACCAGAGGACACACTCAGGGGAGAAGCCCTATGTCTGCAAGGAGTGTGGACGAGGCTTTAGCCGGAAGTCATACCTCATTATACACCAGAGGACACACACAGGGGAGAAGCCTTGTGTCTGCAAGGAGTGTGGACGAGGCTTTTGTCAGAAGTCATACCTCATTACACACCAGAGGACACACTCAGGAGAGAAGCCCTATGTTTGCAAGGAGTGTGGACGAGGATTTTGTCAGAAGTCACTCCTCACTGTACACCAGAAGACACACTCAGGAGAGAAGCCCTATTTCTGTAGCGTGTGTGGAGGAGGCTTTTGCTGGAAATCAGCCCTCATTATACACCAGAGAACACATGAGAAGCCCTATGTCTGCAAGGAGTGTGGACGAGGCTTTAGCCGGAAATCAGCCCTCATTATACACCAGAGGACACACTCAGGGGACAAGCCCTTTGTCTGTAGGGAATGTGGGCGAGGCTTTAGGGAGAAGTCAGTCCTCACTAAACACCATAGGACACACTCAGGAGAGAAGCCCTATGTCTGCAGGGAGTGTGGGCGAGCCTTTACTCGGAATTCATACCTCATTACACACCAGAGGACACACTCAGGGGAGAAGCCCTATGTCTGCAAGGAGTGCGGGAGAGGATTTAGCCAGAAGTCAGTCCTCAGTAGACACCAGAGGACACACTCAGGGGAGAAGCCCTATGTCTGCAGGGAGTGTGGGCGAGGCTTTACTAGGAATTCATCCCTCATTATACACCAGAGGACACACTCAGGGGAGAAGCCCTATGTCTGCAACGAGTGCGGGCAAGGCTTTATTCAGAAATTATACCTCATCAGACACCAGAGGACACACTCAAGGGAGAAGTCCTATATCTGCAGGGAGTGTGGGCAAGACTTTGGTGATAAGTCACACCTCATTGGACACAGGAGAAGAAAATACTGCCAACACACCTCCATATCCCCAGCTTTGAGGGTTCAGAGCAGGTCCCCAAGAGAGTGAAGAGCACAGAAACAAGTGGGTAAGCAGGTCCTCCATTTTCAAGTCAATGGAATATGTTGAGAAACCCCAAGGGTTCCTGAAGTGGGCAGGTGGTTCTGCCAGTCCTCTCCCATGATGCTTTAGTCTTTTGTAGTAAATATTGCTTTCACACAGCTGTAGTCCAAACCATGTACCTTACTCCCTCATCAGAGAAGACACAGAGAACTCACATTCTCAGCCCAGATTTCCACAACACTTTGGTCCCTGAAAAGGTGAAGTGTAGAATCTGACTAAATGATTGGAGACTCTAATGTGGACCTGGGGAGAGAAGTTGGGACCCTCTGAGAAGGGAGCACTTTGATTCCCTGGGAAGTATAGTCTCCTCTCTCAATGACCACTCCCTCACAAACCACCTGGAATCATAGTTCTCTGGCTTATTGCCCCCCAGCGCCCTAGAAGCACATTTCTCATAGAACACCAATCTAGGCCTCTCCCCTTGACTTTGCTTCAACCGACCTCTCCTCAGACCATCCTGTCAGCCATATCACAGAATGCCAGGCAAAGCAGGTTCAGTGAAGAGCTCCAAAACTCAGAACCACATGGGTAGAAATACTTTAAAAATTTGAAGGCGTATAGCTAGTGGAACTTGTAGCGAATGAGGTGAGACACAGTCTTGAGACTCGCGTCAGGGATTAAAAACCCGAGTGGACTGCCCACTTGGTGTGCTCGCTGGCCTGTTCCTGTATGAACGGCTATGCGCATGCACCCTCCTGCAGGAGTAAATTTGACGTTCTAAGGTCATTTAGTCTCACTGAGTGTGCGACATCGGGATTCATTTCTAACAGGATGGTGAGACATGAGGTATGTTACCAGGAGAGACCAGTCCCTGCTTGATAAAGTTAGATGGGCTGACTGACGCAGTGCATGCTTGATAAAGAGGAAGGACCTTGTCGGGGAGTGGCCTCGACATAGGGGTTAGGTTCACGAAGTGGAGATACCTGGCGGCGATAGGGATAGCAAAAGAGACACGGAGCAAAACAAGAGAGACAAAGAGGCACCCCGAAACCAGGCTGAATGCTGGACTGGCATCAGGCAGATCCTGCGTTGCAAACATCTCAGCCATGAAGCCTGTAATATCCTGCATAGCAAACGTCTTGGCTAAGCTGGCAGTATGGTTGCAATGCTAGACTGAGCCCCATGCATGATGTAAAGCACGCCTTGCCAGTTGTAATGCACCTGGATTCGTTCTGCGCCTTCGTTTTATTTAGGGGAGGTACTTTACACAAAGCTAGAAGGGTCTAAGACAAGGTACAGCTGTCAATCTTACTTTTCCAGACATTCAGGCAACTGTACATCGTACTTCGCAGGTTCGAATCTCAGGACCACAACTTGGTTTCTCAAGCTTAATTAACACACATTTTAGCACCTAGCCTCAAATGGAGGGAGGAAAGGAAGGATTGGGAGGATTCTCATTGTGTTGGCTGCCCAGCCCAGGTTCTTGAGGAAAAGAGACACCTGGGTGAATAGGCTACATCTGAAAACACTAGGGAGGGAAATCCTATTGTCTTTAGAACAATGAACTGGGGAGCTACCCAATTTACCTTGAATGAATTCTCTGAGGGAAGAACTTTGCCTGTTTGGAATTTTACAGTCTTGGCTTTTAGGAAAATATTCTATTTATCTGTGGATATCAAGGGCTCCATGTATGCAATTTAATAATAACATAGCTGAACATTAAGATGAAAAACAATTTGCTATGCCTGCCAATTGGCTAGAAGTTGTTCCTCAGAGCCTGCGACCTGTATGGTCTACTACACTCTTGGGCCTATAGGGCCTCAAACTTCTGACCAGGTTTACACGGTCTGCAACAGGTCCTCAGTGAGATGGAAGGGGTTGTGCCTGCAGGAAGGGGCTAAAACAGCAATGATTGTGAGGATGGTGTAAGCCAAAGTAATGTTTCTTTCTGTTGTGCACATGAGTCACCATGAGTCAGAGCTGACTTGATGTCACCTAACAGTGGACTGAAAACTCCAAAAAGTCAACAACTATGTACATTTTGATCTGGCTATATATCATATACCTTGTATTGTACCAGTAAATATTTGTTAAATATATGATTCAGGGGTCACCATCAAACTCCTGCTTAAAATATTTTGATGACCGATCTAGAGGATTATAGTCATGTTTTAAGAATCTGATGCATAGTGTTATCCCCAACATGACACACAAAATTTTTCTTTCCTCACTGAGTTAAATGACTGGAGTTCTGGCTAGTGGTCCAAAGCCACCAGGCAGTCCTCAGAAACCTTATACAGGGTCACTATGAGTCAGAACTGACTTGAGGGCACAAGAGCAAAATCATGGAGTTGGCTTAAAGTAAAAGAGTTTTATGGAGGGGTAGAGTGATCCCCTCAGTGGGCAGTCCATTCGGGTTTAATCCCTGTGTCTCACCCCATTGGCTAGGGTTTTGACCACACAATCTATTCCCTTACCCGGTTGGCTAGTTCAAATTTTTAAGGTGCACATTCCTACTTTAGGAAAAGAAGAGAGCGATCATAAATTCCTTACTCCAGGAAGTAGTTTAAAGAAAAAGAAATTTAAATAAAATTGTTTTTCCACACAGGTCACCTTTTAGTAACAGAAGCAGAGCCTAGGACAAACTGGACTGGGAGTCAGCCCTCTTGTAAACCCATTTTAGTCTTGCTAAATGTCGCAGATTCTGGAGTGCCCTTCCACATCACCTACACGGGGCAAAGTTGTGGTCTAGACCCCAGTTTCCTTTATAAAAAACAGACAATGATTTATTATTTTAAATGGTTTTATTAATTTTATTTATGCTTTATATGGCATATTTAGATTTATGCCTTTAAATAATTTAAATGTGATGAAGTCACTTTTAACTAAGGTGATGAGAAATATAAAACATTTAACCCTTACGGAGATATTTCAAACAGATGACAGCCTCTAAGCTTGAAAACAAAGTCACCATTAGACTTGTCATTTTCGGTCTTTAGGTGGCGCCCTTGCTCTCAGTGATATTCTCAATCTAAACTGTGCTGATTTCTCAGTTTGGTCCCGTTCAGTCATTGGCACTGGGAATTTGATCATTTGTTTTGATAAAAGTAAAGTTAGTTTCACTGTTGTTGTTAGGTGCCATAGAGTCGGCTCCCACTCATCAGGGCCCTGTGCACAACAGAAGGAAACATTGTCCGATCCTGGGTCAGCCTCACACTTGCTATGTTGGAGTCCACTGCTGCTGCCACTGTATCAGTTCATCTCCTTGGGAGTCTTCCTCTTTGTCTCTGATCCTCTACTTTACCAAGAAAGATGTGCTTTTCCAGGGATTGGTCCCTCCTGGTAGCAGTCCTACGTATGTGAGAGGAGGTCTTGCCATCTTTGCTTTTAAGGGGCAATCTGGCAGTACTTTTTCCAAGACAAGTTTATTTGTTCATCTGACAGCCTGTAGACCTTTCAATATTATTCACCAATTCACCAATGCCATAATTCAAATGCATCAATTCTTCTTCTATCTTCCTTATTCATTGTTCAATATTCACATACATAAGAAGCAATTGAAAATATCATGGCTTGGGTTAGGCATTCCTTAGTTCTCAAAGTGACATCTTTGCTCTTTAACAAGTCTTATACAGATTTGCCTAATGCAATATGTCATTTGATTTCTTGACTCTTTTTTCCATGAATGTTGATAGTGTCGCCAAATAAAATAAAGACTTTGATAACTTCAATCTTTTCTCACTTATAGTGATGTTATTTACGGATCCAGTGGTGAGGACTTTTGTTTTCTTTACATTGAGTTTGCATCCATACTGAAGACTGACTTCTTAGGTCTTCATCAATAAGTGATTCAAATCCTCTTTGATTTTAAATCTACATATTGCAGGTTGTTAGTAAGGCTTCCTCATATACTCCTCATTCTTCTTTATATGGTCCAGTTCCCCAAATTATTTGCTCAGCATACAGATTGAGCAAGTGTGGTAAAAGGATACAACCATGATGCACACATTTCCTGATTTTAAATCATGGAGTATTCCCTTGTTCTGTTTGAATCTTTTGGTCTAAGTACAAGTTCTGAATGAGCACAATTAAATGGTCTGGAATTCCCATTCTTTGCAATGTTATTCATAGTTTGTTATAAGTCACACAACTGAATGTCTTTGCACGTCAATAAAAAGTAAATATTTTTCTGGTATTTTCTACTTTCAGCCGAGATTCATCTGACATCAGCAATGATATCTGTCATTTCATGTCCAATTCTATATCTGGCTTGAATTTCTGGCAGCTTTCTGTCAAAGTACTGCTGCAAACATTTTTAAATCATCTTCAGCTTTTCTTGTGTGTAGTATTAATGATATTGCTTGATAATTTCTTCATTCTGGTGGCTCACTTTTCTTTGGAGTGGGTATTCAAACTGAGTGGGTATTCCGTCTTACAGAACAGATTTGTTAATTCACACCATTCCCCAAAATAAGTTCCTGATGGATTAAAGACTCAAATGAAAAAAACCAAACAAACTATAAATACACCAGAAGAATATACAAGTGAATAAGTTTATGACGTTAAGAAACTGTAAATCATTCTGGTTTAGATCCCAAATGCAAATGACTTAAAGGAAGGAATGCACTGATAAATTTGACTTCTTCAAGAGTAATTAATTTGGACAGCACTTTAGAGTTGTGTACAACAAAGGGTATCTTAAATAAAGTTAAAAGACAAGTAACAGATTAGGAGAAAATATTTACCACACATATAATACATATAGGGTTAACATTTAGATTTATAAAATGCTCATATAAACCAGAAACAAACAAACAACCCCCCCCACACACAAATAAGCTAATAGGAAGATGGGAAAATAACAGTATAGGTTATTTATAGAAAAGGAAATACAGTTGGCCAATGAACATAAAAATATAATCTAAACCTCACCAAATATCAAGAAAAAATTATTAAATTTAGAACATTGAAATAATTTCTAATTATATTGACAAAACATTTTAATA